GCCCTCCTACAGCTATCTGCTGCCCCATCTACTTCCCCCTAAGCCAGCCCTGGACATTCATGGCTTCCGCCAGCAGACCCACAACACCCTCCAACGCCTTTTCAAGATGAGCTTCGTTCCTGCTGGATTTTGGGAGCGTTTCATTGCCAGGATGCTTATAAGCCTCCAAGAAATGGACATGCAGGTAGTTTCTCTTCATTCTCCGATTTTAATTGTGAGTTTTTCACTTTCGTGGCCTAAAACGTTGCATCTATGCAGTCGTTTGAAAGCAAAATAAAAAGCAGCAGGAGCCGGCACAGCAGGAGTTCTGTGATCTACAGCTTTACCGGATCACAACAGAGGAGTCGCTGCAGCACCTTCAGAGTCCGACGCAGCCAGACTATCTACTGGAAGGAAGGACTTCTCGTCACCTTCGATGGAGGTTACCTCAGGTAAGAGCTGGAGCTAGAAGATGCATGGTGGGAATTTTAAGTGGGTGAATTTTAAGTTTTAAGGGAATATCCTTTGAGTTGATGCAGATGCTTGTTTATGTCTGTGCAGTGTGGAGTCATCAGATGTTAACTGGAAGAGGAAGAAGAGTGGAGGCATAAAGATTATCTGTCAGTCAGAGACCAGGGATTTCTCTGCTATGGCATTCATCACAGACCATGTCAACTCTCTGATAGAGCAGTGGTTCCCAGGTCAGTACACTACGTGCTTTTTTGCAGTACCCTAGCAGAGCATCAGCTCACAGTATGTGAATCCCCTGTATCAAAGCTGTACCTGGTAGCATTGAAAATACCCACTGAAAAAGGTCTGGATTCACTGAGGAAATGATATGTATCCGCTTCCCCGTAGACCCACCACTTGGGAAGGGTGGGGGCAGACATTAGCGTTGGGTATATTGTATGCTGGGTGGCAGACAAAGTTGAGGGTGGGGGTATGTTAACCATGCTGACTCAGCACACACTGGTTGTTAGAATGTCACTTATGGAGAAGAAATGATGCGATGATGGAGCAGCTACAAAGTTTGCTTTCTTCACGTCAGTGAATGAGTCACACTCGCTTTTTCCCTGTAAAGTTTTTAGCGGTGAGCACAAGAACAGCGTTGCTTTTTTGGATGCTTGAAACATTTTTTCTTTATCTCAACGGGAGCTCGCCATCTCAGTAACAGGTTCGCCTCTTTGCTCTTCGTCAAAACAGAGTGTTTGTGCCACAGACTCCAGCTCCTCAAACTGTGTGTGCCATGCTGATTGTCACTGGTTCTGCTGTGTTTTTCTCTCAAACTGGGAACTGCGTGGGCTTAATGTTGTCAAACTTTTCATTCATAGGCCGATCCTGAATACGTTTGTACATATGTACATAAAACATTATCGCAAATGAAGATGGTTTAACACATCGGTGTGCTACAGAGCCTTGTGTCTCAAGAACTTTTTGTAATCGAATTATTCAGTGCAGCCCCTTAAAGAGTAAAAGTGTTTTGTGAATCCATGTGTGAATGGATGAAAGTGCTTTCAGTACTCTGTGTTGTGCATCAACTCTGGTTTTCAGCTCTCTGCTGCATCTGTACATAAAGTGAACATACTTGTTTTACTTTCTTCTAGCTTTGACTGGCAGTGAAAGTGATGGGAGTCTTCTTGTAGAGCAGTATGCCCCTTGTTCTCTCTGTGCCTCCCTGGGCCAAAAGAATCAGGTTGAGTTCCCAGCCAATGAACACAGCAAGGATGGAGATGGTGTAAAATGTGAAGATGGCAAAGGAAGA